GGGGTGTTAATATATGCCCAATATAAAGATTAAGTTAGACAACAACATTAATGCAATACTGCTGACTCAGAGGGAAAATGGTGTACCCTTGTATAGACCCCAGAGACACTCCTCACACACAGAGATTAATACAGACTCTAATACAGACCCTAGAGGCACACCTCACACATAAAGATGAATACAGTTCCTAATATAGACCCTAGAGACACTCCTCACACACAGAGATTAATACAGACCCTAGAGACACACCTCACACATAAAGATGAATACAGTTCCTAATATAGACACTAGAGACACTCCTCACACACAGAAAGTACTACAAACCCTAATATCGACCCTAACTGCTAACTGTACCGGCAAAACATTCCTAAGTGATTGAAAAGCCTTAGAGGAAGAAGGACAAGAAGGAGTTGCAATATTTTCTAGATTCTGACCTGTTTCTCCTGCCTCAGTGTGAATCACAGTGTGCACGGTGCTGTCTTGTTTCCGCAGGTGTCGGTGACCGCCCGAGAGGACGTGCCTCTCTTCGGGCCCCCCCTCCCCGACCCTCCCGTTTTCAAAGAGGTAGGGAGGTGGTTTAAAATGCAGATGAGCAATTGGTACAGAGCAATGGGTGGGGGGAGATGGACCAGCCTGGCAGCTTGTCCTGCCGCAATGAATAAGATGTTTAGGACAAGTGAAATTAACAGCAGAAAATGGCACAACAGTGAGGTTCAAGGGGAATAGGAGCAGGAGCCGGCTGACTGTTGTATGTCTCCGCTCTGGTGTAGAAATACTGTAGCATCAGCAGACAAAGCATGTACGCAGTTCACAGAGACCTACCGAGTGCACGACTCCGATCAGCACCTTTCCTGGGGGAAGAGTATTATCACGATCGCTGGAAAACGCTGCAGCTATTACTGGAGACTGGTACTGAAAATCAGCCGCAGAGGGGAAAGCAAGGAAAAGGCCAGGGATCCAGGAGTTCATCCTTCCTATTCTGACGAACAGGACATTGGTCCTGTACTGCTCTGAAGACTAGATATTGGCACAGATGCTTTTCCTATCCGTCAGACAGATGTGTGGGAAATGAGCTGGGCAGTCGAAGCCTTCTTGCCTTTCCTGGGAGGGGGAAAAAGGCCGGAGACCCTCCTGAAAATCCCTCTTTCTGTCTCTCTCTGCAGCGCCACCGGCTGCGGGAGTTCCTCTTGATCAAACTCATCAACGCCGAGATCAGCTGCTACAGAGCCGAGCGATTCCGCAGGCTGGAGGTCTGCCTGCATCTCTCTGTTTCTCTGTGTGTCTGCCTGTCCGTCCGGGTTTGGAAACGTGTCTCTGTGTGTTTGTGCATGTGTCTGTTTATCTGTGTGTGTGTGTGTGTGTGTGTTATGTGTTTGTGTGCCTGCATCAGCACCGCTTAATCAGGGCAGTGTAACCATATGTTTTCTCATGCCTGTGTCGCCCCCCGTTACCCCTCTCTCAGGTTCGTACGCGCTCTTCTCTGCTCGAGAGCTTACAGTCTGATCTGTCAGCCAGATCCTGCTGCATGCTGGGAGCAGCCCCACCCTCTGCCTCCAATGGAGGGCCAGGAAGGGGAGAGAGTGGGGGGAGTGGAGGGGGGTTCATTGAAAACTTCAAGGTAAGTGTGAGGTGTGTCTCTAGGGTCTGTATTAGGGTCTGTAATAATTTCTGTGT